TAATTATTTTTGGTTAATAATTTAGTTATCTAACTTGAATCGCTTAAGTTTACTAGTTGTAAACCTCCTGTTGGAACCTTATTTCGTCCGACAGGTCGACTAGTAACAACGTTAATATAAGTATTTTACTATTTTTCAATATGTTATCCTTCGAAGGTCTTCGTTAACTTTCGAAAGTTATCAATTTTGATATTTTCACATGACGAAATTTTACGAATATTATCATTTTCATAGTAAATTCATATTGATAACTTTCAAAGATTATTGATTTTGATATTTTTATATGCGAAATTTTATGAATATTATTATTTTTGTAGTAAATTTGTATCGATAACCTTTGAAGGTTATCGATTTTGATATCTTCATGTATGAAATTTTGCAAATATTATCATTTTCATAGTAATTTTCAAGCATAGTTCTTATATTGGATTCACAAATGATGATATGACTAAATACATTATCAAATATATATTTTTTTGTTCATACGATCTAATGTCAAAAATTGATCATGGTCATTATTCAAGTGACAAGATAAAAAGAAATCAATCGTTATTTGAATGTGTTTTAAAAAATAAATCATGACACTATTGAATATGTTCTAAAAAATAAATCACGACACCTTCAAATGTGTTCTAAAAAATAAATCACAACACCTTCGAATGTATCCTAAAAAATAAATAAGATACCTTTGAATGTGTCTTAAAAAATGAATCATAACACCTTCAAGTGTGTCCTAAAAAATGAATCATGACACATGATGACAGTGTCACATTTCTGTTATCATGATATATGCCTGATCAGAAATAATTTAGATCAACCAGAAATAATATAATTATATTATTTCTAGTTAATGGAATGGTCAATTTTAGCTGATCTATGATATAAGAATCAAAAGTAAAAAGCCTTTGATTCAATTTCAATTTGTTCAATTTTTAATTGTGTTCAACTTAATAATTACATCAATTTACTATATAAAAATGAAAATTTCACTTGGCTCAACTTTCATTTTTTCAATTTTAATTGTATTTAACTTAATTCAATAGTTTTAATAACATGTATAATAGGAATCACTAATTGATACAGTGATTCTTTTGCATTTGACAGTACCTCGTGACTAAGTAACAACTTGGCTGAGTTATTTACATCCCTTATCAACCCTTTCCTCATTAACCAGCATAACAAATATCTCAAGAATTGTACTTGATCTATTCTAGTTAAGTAATACTAGTAAACATCTTTCCTACTTTACTTATTTAACAATTTTTAAGTCTATTAAAAAAAATATTAAAAAAGAATGAATAATAATTTAAATATATAAGATTCATTATATTATTTTACAAGGTATCAATGACAATGTTTTGACTCATTGGTAAAACTTTTTTGATTGGTTTAATTATACGTGCGTAGATCATATGATGTCAGTAACAATTTGTTTCACAATATTTAGTAGATTATGATATTTTTCTTTCTAGTTAGTGTCTATTTTTTTTCTCTACTCTTATTAAAATGAATGATGAAACTGTAATAGAGTATTTAGAACAAACGCGTGATTTTCTTGAAAACGCAATAAATTTATCTAAAATAGAAGCTTACACACGACAATTTTCTAAAGAATCAATATTCGATACAGACTTTTTTTTAACACATTGTCAAGTTTTACCTAATACTCAGGAAGACAAAGGCGCAAAGTGGCTATTACCTCCGGACTGTAATTTAATTTGTTACAAATCAACAGAAGATGGAAACTGTTTATTTAATTCTGTATCCTTGCTAATAATAGGAAATGAAGAAAAGTCGATGCAATTACGCTTTGCAACAATTATTGAGTTAATGAAATACGCAAGACATTATTTGAACATTCCAATCTTTAAAAAATCTATAATTTATTCAGATTTAGCTTTTCAAACTGCCGAGAAATTTAATGATAAGGAGAAAGAATTCGACAAACAATTCGTATTCATTCAAGAATTACATTTAATGTGTAATATCGGAAATTGGTGTGGGATGCCTGCAATATATGGTTTATCCTCGGTCCTGCAACACAAGATTCGTTCAATTTTCCCGCCAATTAAACAAAAATTATTAATTGACACATATAATAAGTTAATTTTACCACGGCAAGACTCCGATAATGGGTCACAACTGGAAACTAATCGTAACTCACAAGAAATTGATTGCGAGTCACAGCAACAAAATTCTGATTATGAACCCATCAATATTCTTTGGACAAATATGTCCGTGACTAACAAACAAAAGGCAACCAAATTCTTGAAATCTAATTTAATTTGCACTAATCATTTTGTTCCCTGTCATAAAGCTCAAACTTAATGTATTAAAAAAAAATTTTTTTAAAATTTCAATTAAATTAACCAAATTTTTATAAAATTTTTAATTAAATTAATTATATTAATCAAATTTAAATGTAATATAATTTATAAAATTAAAAAGATCCAAGAAGACGAGAAGATTCAAGAAGAAAAGATTCTCATTTACAAAAAATAATATTAAAACCAGGGCGGTTGTCACGTGCTATAGATTTGGATTATAAATCCCATAAAATTTATTTGGCTATAAATAACTTTTACTAGATTTAGTTATAATTCACGCGTTCGTGTCCGGAGAGCATTTGATCAGCCATGAGGCATAACCGAGCTGGTTGGATGCTGACAATTACTCCGGAATAAATAATTTTTTGAACCCTTCAGGGTTTCTAGATTTTTAATTTTAGCACATAATATATATATATATATAGCATTTTTTCACCGAAAACTTTAAAGACTTATTTTCATTACGATTCTAACATTACAGTCAAATCATTTATAAACATTCGACAATTTTCATTCAACAAACGATTGAACTCTCGAAGGCAAAATAAAAATTTAATAAAATTTACAATAATTATTAATTTGATCGTTTAATAAAGTTTTTTTTTATTATTTAATAATGAAAAGATACAGATTTCAAATATTTTTCGAGAAATAAAATTACTAATATAAAATCATATTTCTTATGGTTGTAAAAGTAAAATAATAAATAATAAATGCACATTGTAATAATTGTAATAAATAAATAATCTTAACAATAATGACAATAATGACAATTTGTATAACCATGAAAAATAAAAGAAATATTTTATTTGTTCCTTTGAAGGCTTTCTCTTAAATTTCTTAAACCATCGTCATCAGGGTCATTATTGTTAATAGTTGAGAAATTCTCCTGACGGAAATTGGAAGAAGACCTTTTATTCTTTTCAAGGCCGTTGGGCTTGGGAATTTTCACATTTTTCGCGCTGCTTCCAGTAACGATATTGATGAGGATATCCGAATTAATCCACGGGAAGGTGATCATCCTTTCGGAAGGATCATCTCCCATCTCACTTGGGTGATAAGTTACATAATACCACGCAAATGCTTTTGCCTCCATTTGGTGTTTAATATCTGGGGAAATAACATTCTCTAAATCAAATCCTTTTTCGAATATCTTACGATACTGTCGTTTAATCGCATTTGCATTATCTGCAACAGATTTTTGAACATCTCGCGGTTTGTTTCTTTCAATTCTTACAGTTGGTTTAACAATAAACCCACTAGCAACTTCGTATTCGGATGAAATACCAAATTGATTCATTAATCCCCGCAATTCTGCATCATAATCCCGTTTATTTTTTCGAGAATCTTCTAGATAATGTTCAAAAGTGCCTTGGAATCTTTCGAGTGAAAAGCGCTCGTCGAATTTGATATCCGTATAAGGATTAAATTCATCCACCACAATTGATCTATATAGCTTTCCAAGAACCTTTTGGGATTCATAATACGGCTTATCCGGTTTTTCCATAAAATCTGGTGCATCTCTTGACCTAAGTTCTGGCGGAAATTCTGCCGGAATCCCTGTCTTGGGAAAATCGACTGCCTCGGAATGTAATTGTGCTAGTCTGATACATTCACCGTGAAAGGCACCATTTGGAGCCTTATCTGCTTTGACTAAATGAGAATTGGCAATTTGACCCAATTGATCAGATAGAATATAATTTACGAAGAATTTTTTCACATGATCTATAGTCACTTCCGGAACAAAGGCGGGTTTAGGCGCCTCGTAGTTCATCGCTTCGACAATATCTCCTCTAGGTATAAGCCTTGGATCATGGATAACACTAAAGTTTATATTACGGTTAGAGAATTAAAATAAAAATAATCAAAAAAAAAAATTTAATCTCCGGATTCTTACGTGAAATCGTCGCCATCTAAATCACCTCCGCTACATTGGCTTGGGATATCTCGATATCCCACAGATGGAAATACTGCAACATCAATTAGATGATCCAAATTCTTGCATTCTACAGCTGTAACAACACGGATATCTCCGGGGTGAAAACATGGATTCCGGAATACAATGCAAGTACCTTTGAATACATGCCTTGCATTTGGATTATTAGGATCGGATTTACAGACATATATTTCGTCTTCCTTTAACGATTCGGTTTCATCTAGCACTCCAAGTAAAAAGGCACCATCAGAAACACGAATTTTGGCCTTTTTTTTGAGATCTCTTAGAACAACGATTCGAAATAATGAGATAAGATTTACTAAATAGGGATCCCTTCTACTAAGAAACCCTGCCTTCACGAGGTCTGCCAATATTCGAGTCATTCCATACTCGTCAATATTTTGTTGTAGAACTCTAATTGCAGTAGGATCGCTTTTAAGCATTTTATCAAGCTCCGCAACTTGCTCATCTTTCATATCAATAAAAATTTTATCAGCAATTCCCAATGTTGATAACAATGTGATTGCCTGACGGTTTAAATAGGCGGTGATCATACAGGAGCCTCGAATGATTTCAAGCACATTATGGTTCGACTCAAATTTGAGTTGACTCGGCCGAACTTGAATTTGCTGACCACGCAAATATTTTGATATACAAAGAACACCTTTATATCCCGCCAATCGAAATTGGAAGGCACACGGGGTAGTTTTTAATTCAAGGGTAGTAGCGATATGTTTAGCTAAGTTAGGACTAATCTTTCCCGTGCCATCAGAAAAATTGTATTTATTCCTTTCAATATCATGAATTTCTTTGATATCAGTAACACGTAATTGTGCAATTGCACGTGTACTTGAGAAACACTGCCCCATACGAGCAGCATATTTTGCAACATTTCTGATAGAAGAAAATTCACCCATCCATGCTCGGATATCATCTGCTGTTAGATCGTGTGCAGGAGCGAAAAACCAACAAGAATGCTCTCTTAATTGACTAGACGAGAAGGCCAAAAATTCGTAATGACGATCACCAATCTTAATACCAGTAAGAAGAACATTATAAATCCTATTATATAAAGCATTATTGGCGTTGTTTCCAATTGACGACCCAACAGTTCCCGAAGCTTCGTCTGTGAACTGAACACGTAAAAAATTATCCTTATAACTCTTAAAATGTCTAATAACGCGATTTGATGTTTCCATCGTGGGAGGAAGGATGTACATGGTAGTCGGTGTAACCACCACTTTCCTCATCATAACACAATACGGAGGAACATTACGTATTTTTCGAGGTTGATTTTTCTGTTTCTGAACTTCGTTATTGAGGTATTTAAGGGGCTCGAATTCTCTTCGTTTATGGGAAGAAAAAGTTTCGATAATTTCTAATCCCATATGTTTTGGCAGACCAACTAATATCTTATAGAATTCGTCACTTAAATTGTAGTCATGTAAGTAATTGTGGGATAAATTACTCTCCACCCAATAGAGTAAATCGAAATCCAACATTGATCTATCAACATGTTTCTGCAACTTGTCCCCTGGGATAACTTTTAATCGAGGATTCAATTCAAAAGGCTTGGAAGCAAGATTATATTCACCGGCTTGCATCAACATAGATTCAAACTCCTTTATTCCGTAAATTTGTTGAAGGTTAAAAGTGATTCTAAAAACGATCACTTTGCCTAACAAATCGATATGGTTGGGCATATTTAATTGTAAAGGAATGTTTCTATTATCGTCGGGTCGATTTGTGCGTATTTCAGTCTTTCTTCTCCAATGGTCATTAAGGCTCCAACTGAACTTGTTCTTTACTTTCATACTTGTATCTAACATCGAATACTTAGCAGGAAATTTGTTTTCGATGGTGAGATACACGTGCGATCGATCATTTACTTCGTCCCACTCGGAAATAAATTCGCTAGCAATATCTTTAAATTGTAATTCCAACTTGAATGTAGAAACTTCATTTTGTACCCCGAATAATACTTGAATATTTCGTTTCTCATAATCAATTATAAAACTTAATCGGTCGGTATATTTGAGCTCTCTTACAAAAATATCTTTTTGCAAAAAAACACCAAGTTCAAGACATTCTACTGAGAACACATTTTGTTTCAATTTATATTTTCCATCAGTATTGTCATAAAATTGAGGAGAATTGGCAGACGAATCTCTATATCGTAATTCCAACTTTTGCCCATTAAAATTAAGATCATCTTTCCAAAAATGATTAGTAGGAGGTGGTCTGTATAAGAATAAAGTTGCAAATCGGTAAATAATTAGGATTTAAGAATTTCAAATAAATAATAGTATAAACTAAATCTTATAGCGACTTATTTACATAAAATTTAGCGTGAAAAAAAAAATCGACTATTTTGAACATTTTGTTTCTACTACCTGAAAATAACAAACGCGCTTCCGATAGGTTCACATCCATTGTCATCTTTCGTATCAATTTTAACCATAAATACTGGGCTATATTTATTAAAAAAATCCCTTAATTCGCTAGCGGTGGTGCTTTTTCTGAGGTTAAAGACTTTAAAAGAAACCTCCTTAAAACTTTTATAATTACGTGGAACATTTGGTTTGTCCCCACCATTCCCACTGTGCCTTCGAAAAGAATTGTTTCGTTGATATCCCTCATCAACTTTATTTTGGTAATAAGGAGGAGGCATTGCCATAAAAAATGTTAATCAAATTTTTTTCCAAACCCTTATATTGGTTATATGTATTGCAATTGTTAACTAAAAAAGAAATTGATAAATACACAGATCATCATGTTTTTACGTTTTTTCCGAGAATAATCAACCAATGAAAATAAAAATCAGTTTACATATCAGGGCAGGGTCGTACAATGTACCAGTGAACTGTTAAAAAATTCGAGCTTACTATTTTTTTTTTTTTAACCATAGAAGATATTTTATTAATATATTAATTTTACATAACTACCTATACTAGTTATCACTAGCTAGCTGCAGGTCCGCCCTTCGACACCATATGATCGTAGTTTAGCTTGATAGTGAATTGGGTTGGGTAACGTAATGTCTTCCGTCTATGCAAAAAATTGCTGACCTTGATTTAATACGAGAGGAAAAAAAATCTCTGCGCGTCCTATTCACTCATAAGCCTCTTATAAGAACTGAAGTAGAGAAAATTATTCCTACTTGTAAAAACAATGAAGAGATACTAGATTACTTGAAAGATCATCTTACACAACTGGAAAACCAGCTAAAGATGATGTATTAAGTAGGAAGAAATAGCTCGATGACCGAATATCTTCGCAGGTCTTGTGTGCTTGTGGTGAGCGAGTTGTGTGCTTGCGCGGGAAGCTCTCGTTGATGAGTCAAAAACATAAAGTTTAGGCTTTTCCGGAGCGATGTCGTTTCTAGTTAATATTTCAGTACAAAAGGCGGTATGCTTGTGAGCGAAGTGCGTCTTAGTGGGATGAGGTGCATCCTCGTCTAAAATATAACATCCGGGCTGTTTCTTCCTTATATGTTGTGCAAGTTGTTTTTTGCATTGATTAATTAACCTAAAGTCTTGATTTGTCTCAGATGCGTCAATTGTACTTGCATCCATAATACATTTGTACAATCCCAAAATTTTGGAGAAAAAAGTTGAAATTTAGAAGATAAAATTATTCTACTTAAAACCTGAAATTTTTTGATCACCTAGGTAAATTCTTTAATTAAAAATATACTTAACTGGATATTTTTTTTTACTTTTATATATAGAATAGATTCTGAGTAAATCTTAAAAAGACAAAGGGTATTGCTAAAGCATACCAGTGGTAATTGTTACCACTGGGCAAAATTATATAATTTCCTGATCAACCCCTAACCCTAACTTTGTTCATATAAATTTAATTTTACCTGGTGGTGACAATAACCACCAGTGAGCTTTAGTAATTTTCAGTTTTGAGAACATATATTAATATATAACAATCCATTGAAAAAGGTAGTAGACAAAGCATTATTGATATTTTAAAATTTCTTATATCCAAAAAAGAAACTTTAAATATATCAAATTCTGAAATTCATCTTTGAATTTTTGGTGATGGTAGAAAGTTAAAATAAAGCAAGTCATGATTTTTATATTTGTATTAATTTATTATTATAATTTATTAATAATGTTAAAGATTTTCATTCAGGTGTATGTTTATACAGGTCAAATACAAAAGAATACATTAATAAATTTTTTTAAACATTAACCAACATTGATTAACAGTACATTGGTTAACATTGGCCAACATTTATGTCACTAATCAACAAAATGTTGGCCAATATTTTCTATTAATAAATTTTTTGCAAATAATAATAAATGGTATGTTAACAATTATCTGATGATGTTGTCACTGGTGGTTCCCGGTTTCCTGTAGGAACAACCAATAAAGTGACTTAATGGTTCTTTTAAGGAGTTTATAGTCCTTTTCCAAAGGTAAGACTGTTGATTTGTTATTTTAGAAGGTACCACTGATTCAATTATTTTAAAAAGGGAATCAGACCTTTCATCCAATTTATTCCAATATCTTTTAAGTCCATCATCAATTTTGTATCCCAAGTTATTTATTAATCATCTTCCAGTTTTTATTATTGTTAAGTATTATTTCAATTCATTATGATTAAATATTATTTCAAGTCCAGGATTAATAATAATGGTTTGTAATTAATTTCATTAATTCAAGAATAATAATATTATACAATCAAGTATTTAATCCTATAATATCCATTATTCCTTTATTAATTATTATGATTTTATATTTAATAATTATTTTTATAAATTTTATTTCATATTATCAATATTTATTATTTTATTAATTCATTTGCAGGGTAATTTTTACAAGTATTTATCTTGGAGTCTCAAATTATAAAATTAAATTTATCAATTTCAAATAAGTTACAAATTATTAAAACTCAAAATTATAAAATTGTAAACTAAAGAGACAAGGTAAAATTCAATCTTTTTTATATCTAAATTTAATGATTATTATTACTATACTTGTACACAAAATTATTTTGGAACCCCGAAATTGCAATTTTGGAGAAAAAAGTTGAAATAGTTTTTCATAGAAGACAAAATTATTTTACTTAAAACCTGAAATTTTTTGACCACCCAGAT